GTTCATTCTGGTCACATCAGCCTGTACTACCTTCCTCTCAAAGAATGACCCAACGGGTCACAGGGTTGTCTAGTATTATAAAAACAGCTTTGAAGGTGGATCCCTGAAAATAGTTAAGCTTCTGAATGCTTGGATAGAAAGCTTAAATCAAGCCAATGAACTAAATGTTCATTGGAACACAGGATGCTGAACTGGAAGGATCCAGTAGGGTAATTCATAAGTTTCCATGTTCCACACTGGCATTTGTTTCAGGTAAAAACTCTTAAAAGTTTTTTTTTTTAGGAATCCTATGTTTCCTGAAAGAGATAAAATGTGACAGATACCATTCATATTTATTTCAATATCTTTCTCTCAAAATGACCAACGTAGTAAAAATTGTTGGAAGACTGTGAAATCACCTTTGAATATTTGAAAGTAAAAGTGAAAAGCAAAGATCCTACTTCAGCGGGATTTCTTCTGATCATAAAAGTGAATTGTGTAACTATGGGCCAAGTAAGATAAAACTATAGCTAGATAAACAAGCATTGCTTTTCTCCATATTGTTCTGAAATAAATTGGATGGTGATAATGTTGTAGATCACTCTATTATTATCAGACCACATTCAAGATCAGCATTTCTTTTACAAAGAAGGAAGTTGGTGACTAAGACCAAAGAGCTGTCAGTAAAATAAAATACCTGTTTCATCACAAAATATATCAAGTCACACTGGGCCGCCCAGAGTCCACTGGAGTTGGGCGGCCAATAAATTAAAAATAAATAAATAAATAAAGAATGGGGCATCGTGATTATTTCCCCATTACTGAATAATATTTTGGAGCACATGCTAAAAGCAACTCTAATGATGTTGACTAATTCATTGGCAAAAACACCATATAATATTGCTTCTTAAAAGAGCTGAATTGGCTCGTTTGTCACAGTTTCAGTGTGTGAAAATAAGTTTTTAGATCGAGGGACCCAGGTTCAAGTCCCAATTCAATCATAGAGCTCCCTGGGGAACTCTGGAGCAATCATTCTCTCCCTGCCCAATCCTCTTCAAAGATTTGTTGTTAGGGGGATAAAATTAGGAGACACCCTAATTTAAACTGCCCTGAGCTCTTAAAGAAAAGCAAGATATAGAAACAATAACGCGAAGCAATAGTAAGAACAGCACCAGCAATCCCATATGGCTTATAACCTAGTTAAAAGCATTTCTTCATGTATTATCAGGGCCCATGATCTGCTGAGGAAGCCATTCTGATTATATGTCCAGAAATGGGCACTTAAAGGAGGTGGAACCCCTGCTGTAAAATATTCCCTTGGAAATGGGGTACATTTTGGTCCCAAATTCTTTTCTGCTAAAGATGGGCAAACTTTTCATGGCTGAGATCTACATTCAACTGCTTCTGATGACTTAGGGCCATGGGGCATAGGATGACATTCCCCCCCCCCCAAGTTTTGGGGAAACTTCTGGGATGAAGGTTTGCTTTATAACCATATTAAGGTTATTTTAAGGCTTATGCTACATATTTCCTGAGGTTCCCACCTAAAAATGGTAGGAAACATTTTCAGCAAATTATCGGTTCTGAGGGATACAGAGCCAGGTCTTTAAGGCTCTCTTGAACAATGTGGGATTGGGGCCACGTGGACCTTAGGAGGTATCCAGTGGGCAGGCATGATGACACAGAAGGGGTGCCTGTTAGATCTTGTAAGATGACACTGATATGGAGACTTCTCTGTGAATCCTTAAGTTATATATTTCTCTACCCAAATTTATTTATTAAATTATATATAGTTCTCTACCCAGAGATCATGTTTCCAGACACATCTGCTGGGAGAAACTGGCCCAAGAATGCTAGGAGATTTGTTTATTGATTACAAACTTTTATATACCATTCATGTTGCAAGGACTCCAAGGAAATAGCTGGAGAAGATAATTTGTCTTTATTTTCTCCTTTCAGCCAGAGAAATACAAACAAGGCATGATAGAAGTATTTTAGGAGAAGGAGTGTCTGGGTGAAGCTTTTAATCATGCAATCACCCTGGAATTTGTTTACAGAATTGTGTTAGGATTAATGGCATCTTCTTTAATCTCCCTGTATTCTACCATTACATCTGTTGGGCAGGAAAAGGAAGTATAACTTAAAATGCTTTTTGATTGCTTTTGCAAGGAAAAGGATGTCTACAAGCACCTAGAAATCACAGCCTTTCAGTGAAACAAAGAAAGTAGGGCAGGGAAAGTGTGCGATCTTTAGAAAATGCCTTTGAGAGGGCTGCCTCTGGAGATTTACCATGCAGCCTGCGGTTTGGTTGCCATCATTCTGCTCCACTTGTGTGTGCGTGTGTGTATGTGTGTGTGTCCTCACTTACCAACTTCCTTATTTAGCAACTGTTCAAAGTTACAATAGTTTTTTTTTAAAAAGCAGCTTTGCAACCAATCCTTGCATTTATGGCCATTGCAGCATCCCAACGGTCACATAATTGCCATTTGCATGCTTCACAACCAGCTTCCGACAAGCAGAGTCAATGGAGAAGCCGGCAGTAAAATTGCAAGTTGCGGTCATGTGATGTCTCACTTAATGACCCACATTGACTTGCTTAACGACAGAAGCGGAAGTGATGTAAGTACATACATACATACATACATACAGTACACACTCAGTATATCAAAACATCTGTACCAATGGAACTTTTCATTGTTTGCAGTAATAAGGCAATGGACCCATCACAACTGAATTCCTCCTCTTAATTTTAAGAATTACAGATGTGTGAAGTTCAACATTTATTTACAGTTCAATATATATGAGCTTACTTTTTTCAGGAAAATGCCTCTTTTCCTTATAATGAGGAGGAGTTATTTTTAGCCAGGCTGTCCTGCCACTGTCATACTCATGTTTTTCTTCTTTGTAGTTCTCTACTGAAGCCCGATTACTTTGAGGATAATGTCTTCTCTGGGGCCTGAGCCAACTAATTTCACTCTTTCCTTCTAGCAAGCACCTTGATTCCCTCATGTTATTAAATTCAAGCAAGTGCTTTTTCTCATCTTCAGCCATGATAGTGAAATGAGCTTCCTGTTACTGTAAGACAAATTCATGTTTTTAAAACAACACACATACACACACAAAAAACCAGGCCTCATTTGCTTAATATTTTAAATCACTGAAAACAGACAATACTGTAAAGCCCTGATCTGTTCTTATGGAATGAATGAAACCTGATATATACTGGCTAGAACAGATGATGCAGCTGACCCCAGGGGAGAAAAATATTCTTTTCCAATGCAGATAATTCAGTACTAATCTTCCTGAAATCAACTCCTAACAACAGTTAGGACATAACAATGGCCTTACTGAATGAGGCCACAGCTGATCTTAATCCTGCATTTTGTTTCTCACAGTAACCAACCAGATGTCTCTGAGAAGATGAAGCTATAACCATCTCCCACCATTGCAACTGGTCTTGGGTTTTCAAACCCAACAGCCTTTGATAGACCTGCCCCCCATGTATTTATCCAATCTGCTTTTAAAGCCATCCAGTGTAACTGACATTAATTCCCCAGTTAAATATATATTTTGGGAAAAAGCACGCTCTTTTGACTGTTTTAAATCTTCCCCAGTCAGCTTCATTAGATGACCTACCATCCTCATTTTATGAAATAGAAACAAAACTCTCTGCCCATTTTATCCATGTCATGCATGGCTTTATACCCCTCAAGCACTTTCCACCTAGGTTGCCTATTTTCCAAGCTAAGGAGTCCCAAATACTCTACCCTTTCTTATAGAAAAGAAGTTAATGTGTTCCAGCTGGGTGGGTATTTAATTATTTTTATTTATCAAATTTATATGGCTGCCCATCTCACAAATGTGACTCTGGGTGGCGTACAATAAAACCAACAACTAAAACATTCTTCAAAAACCATTAAAAACAATTAGACATAAATAGAAACAAGATCACAAGACAGTAGTTCTACTTCCAGGATCCTTATTAACTGAACAGTAGAAGTTTGGGTTTGGAGAAGACTGCCACCAAAATATTGCTGTATAGGGTAATGTAAAACCCCACCCCATCAAAGATGCAGTACTAGTCCTCTTAACTATTGAAATTCTGTGGCCAGCCAATTCATTTGATTAGAATTGGTCTATAGTTCCTCTGCCCTCTTTTTTTGGGTACTTCTTCCGTTCTACACATGTGCTTGGTCAGCAAGGACCCTTTGGAGTTCTTTAGGGTAGAAAGGATCATGTATAGTTCACCCCTTGTGCCTCATTCTTTGATTATGAATATTTCATTCATGTGGGTATCCTGATGGCCCTTTTCAAATCTTTCCTTCATTCTGGAAATTCTGATGTGATCCCCCATGTTAAGATCTTTCTCCTTCCTTTTGCTTTTACAGTTTTTCCTATACAATACAGCCTTACTTACACTTCCTGTTCATTAGACAGATTTACAGTGCTAGGAATGGCGTGGATGCTACAGTGGTAGCTCTGAAGAACATCAGCCCAAAAGTCCGTGTACTGGTTGGTATTTCTAGCTACCTGTAAAATCTCTCCAGAGTTTACTTTTCAGGGTACAGTGAAAACTCCCTATGATAGTCACCCTAGAGTGACAAAGTAATGAATGCTGTAACATTCTAGAAGTTTCTTCAGAGGATGTTAGTAATTTGGGGGACATGTACCCTGTTTGGAGGATATTCTGAAGGATGGATGCTACCTCTCTCCCTGTCTTGTCAGATAAAGGTTCCGGCATGTTTAGATGGATGTCTGTCACAGATATGATGAACTTTTTCCCAAGGCTTTTTTTTTTTTAAATGTTGAAAAATCTATGACAGTAGTCTGTCATGGCTGATCTGGAGTATACACCACTGTTTATTTCTAGAGATATTGATACTTGTGAGTTTATGAAGATTATAAGCCTCTTCCCTTGAAGTGGAAGTCTTGACCTTTTTCCTGGTCAAGGAATAAACATGATAAACCTGTTTATCATGTTTTCTGCTCTCTTGCAATAGGTAATTCACACCACTGTAACTTTCGAAATGACCAAGTATGTAACAAAAGCTCTTTAGAATTCTTTCATACTCCAACATATTGAAGGACTGTAGGGGAATGATCAGGCATCAATTTAAGTTGTAATTTAATTGCTAATATAGAGTTCAGAGGGGCATTTCTAATCCAATGGATGCAAACCCCTCTTCCTCCTCAGCTTCAGAAGTTGTGACACACCATTTTATAATAAACTCCAATGGTGTAAAAAGGTTTGTAGAATTTTTAAGCTCCTATTTGGTTTCTGAGGTTGCCATCTGGTCTGCCATTATTTTTCAAAAGTACAAAGGGCTTAAAATGAAAGTCAAACATGGCTTCTGCCCAGACGTGCCAGGATACATAACCAAAGCCCCCTTTAGGGACAGGAGGGGTACTTTCAGACTTGCAAGATTCTGTTAATGCAACCTTACAATAAAGGTACCCCTCCCTTCCCTCTTTTACTTTCCTGAAAACTAAGGAGGGTCCCTTCTGAGATGCTTTCGCCATCCCTCCTCCTTTGGACTCAAATTTCATTTATCCAACCGGGGCTGTGGCTCTTCCTCCTCCTCCAAGGTCATTCCTACATACCATTACAACTTCTTTACTCTAATATCACTTATTAAAACTACCGATAACTTCCACTGTAAGTTAGTATACATTGTAACTACTAGTGTTTTCCCTAGCAGCTCATATATTAGTGTCAAGACTAATAGCTATTAATAGCCCCATCCTTCATGAATCTGCCTGCTTTTTGAAACTTGAAACCAGTGACTATTATACACTTGGCAACACTGCATTTAACAGTTTACCTATGTGTTAAAACTGCTAAAGAAGTTCTTTTTATTGGTCCTGAATACTCCAGTGCTCAGGCCTCATACTAACTTCAGCTCGTTGATCAGCTATTTAATATACTGTACATTGGCCCATTGGGCCCCCACTATTTGTATAGTTCTATCCATTGAAATAACATATTTTACCTACTCTTAGAGTTTTGTTCTTTAACAAAAGAGGAAGTTTGCTTAGAAGTCTTTGATGAGGGACTTCACCACAAGTCTTTTAAAATCCAAATAAACAATGATTCCTTGATCTTTCTAACCCACATGCTTACTGACACGTACCTATGCTCTGCAGAACTGCAATTTCTGCTGAAATGAGGTTTCCAAGATTTAACAGCTGTTGAGAAACGGGCACTGGTAACGAAGAACTTTGGAAGGTTCTAGAAGTGCTTGGCAACTGGCAATTCAAATCACGGCTAAACCACTACATAGGCAGCCAACTATTTTAATAAATCGTTAAGGTAATATGAATGACATGGTGCACAATAAAGTGAAGGACCAATATTATCACAAAGCATATAAAGACATGAAACTTCAGCAGACAAATGAAATAACAAAATCGGGGAGTAAAGGATCTTAATTCCCCCTTGCAACTAACCAAGACATGAATATGTCCTGGTAACCTCTTTATTCTGCCACGTCCCCATGACATCGCCTTTAACTCACCCTTAGCTCGTGGCTGAAAGAAACTTAAGTCAGTTTGTCCGGTTTTAAATAAGTGTTTCCCCACCCCAAAGAAAACTGGCAGAAACTCACAGCAGATCAGTTTGTTGAATATTCTCAAACGAGCTGTGGGGAGGGGGAATCCAGCTCCTATTGGCTGCTTCAGGCACACCCTTTCCCACAGGTCCTGAGCCGCTGCCTCTACCACCATACTTGTTTTGCTCCAGACAAGGAGAGCTGAACACAGCAACCAATAGCTTTCCACAGTCTGCCAAACAGTTTTTGGTTAAGCTGGGGGAGCCTTCCCACTTATCCGGCAGCTCTCACAACACTCCTAGCAGCAGTTCAGCAGGGAAGGGGAGCTGCTGAGTTTCGAGATAGGCAGCTCTCCTGCCTTATTTTTACCACTTCTCCTCCCTCTTTGGACAGATCCTGTTTTGACATGCAAGGTAAAACAGGAGAGGTGAATCAGCATCTGTCAAAACTTGCACATTGCTGCATCTCTGCCTTAGTGATGAATAGTGTTCCTGCTGGTTGGTGATATTCAGAAAGTGGGAGGGCAACAGAGCCAAGGGATTTAACCAATGACTTTGCTGTATACACAAAATACCATCTGGCAGCAAGCCAAAACGGAGGAGCTTGCTATAGAGTTGGGATCAGCAAAGCAGACAGGAACTTTTATCGTTTTCTGCCATCTCAAGAACTGATGGATAGCACTTCAATGTGAGTGCAAAAATGCCCTCCAAAATTCCTTAATCTAGTAAAAGTGTTGCTATAAATTAGTGGTGGGATTCATCAATAATAGATCATAAGAAATCTGCATCAGGTTAATGGATGGCCAATATGTACAGCTGTCATAGCAAAACTATATCCCTTTTCCAATAGCAACTCACAGAATCCCAGTTCTGTATTATAAAAAAAAAAATCACACAGAATTATTTTGGGTCTTGTTTAGTTTTTTTAAGAAGCAAAAACAAATAAACAAACAAAAATCAAAATGCTGAAATTGATGATTTTCCCAGTGCATTCTGGAATCTCAATCCTGGGGACTGCAAAAATAGTGTACAGTAGTTAGATGCTTTCAGAGGATTTGCCCAAAAGTGATAATTACAGTTTGCATACTATGTCATCTGGATAAAAAGCAATCACTATTTTGAACTTTGATTGGGTTCTTAAGATTAAAAAAAAATCTTCAAGCCTGAAATATGTCCCCTTGCCCTCCAGGAGCCAACGCCCAAATAAGCAGGAAACAGCATCAGATAAATAATCAGGGATGAAATAATATCCTAGTACAGTACCCAAGACTGGCAGGGCAAAGTACTACCTATAAACAGCCAGCAAACCTCACTCTCGCTAGCACTGATAACATCTAGCCAGGTAATGAAACGTTGGCAAGGAAACAACGAACCTCAGAGAGGGCCAAGAAGCCGTTCACTGTCAATTCCTTCTTAGCCCAGTACTGTTCTCTCTACTGAAGACTGACTATAAAACCGTTTACCAGCCCCTAAAATGATATGCCCACAAATGCAGCGTTTTCCCAACCTGAAGCCTTTCAGTCCCGATTTGTTAGTATCTTTCAGATGCTCATCCCTACTTTGCTGTCACCATAGACTGGACCTTTCTCCTCGCCACCCCACCCCTGCCCCAGTGCCTGCAATACACAGCTGGTTTAGATTGCTACGAATTGTAGCCCAACACCTCTATACGACATGAAATCGGGGAAGGCGGCTGCACACTAACAGCTGCTTTCACATGAAGAAAACCGGGGGAAGGTCTCCATCAACCTCTCCGCACTCCAACTCCTCCCTCCCAATTTTCCAGAAGCAGTTTAGGAGCCTTCTTTCATAGAGATCCGCCGCCGAAACCTCATACGAATGCCACGAATGAGAAAGGCATGGATAGCTACCCCCCCACTCCCCCCCGCCGCCAATACCCTATGAGTTGCGCCTGGGGATTAGAAGCATGACACAGCAGGATGCAAAACGTGAGACTCAGTCTCCCAAGGCATGATCCGGGACCAGCAGCCACGCCAATCCTTTCCACGTGGCCGCTTGGGAGCCCTAGGACAATGAGACGCAACCCACCCTCATTTCCTACTCGGGAAACCAGAGAGCGATTGGCGCAGGACTCAGTCCGGCCTCCTTTCACCAGGATTGGCGGAGCCGGCTGGAGCGCCAATCCCTCTGCGTCCCCTCATTGGCTGAGAACCTCGTCTTGGAACGTCTGCCGATCAAGAGAAGGCTAATTGCGCATGCGGGAGCCGGCATCGAGTACTCGCCGACGGGGAGACAAGTCCGGGCGGCCGGTGGGAGTTTGCGATCGTTATTTAAGCCCTGTGGCCGTTCCGCTTTTTCCTTTTTGAATTTGGAGTCTTCAGCGGCCGTTGGCGGGGGGGCTGAGGTCGGCGGGGGGCGTAGGCGGGAAACGAGGTCGGAGCTCAGGCATGGGTGGGGTGGAGGCAGAAATGAGAAGTGAGAGCTAAATGCGGGGGCGCGGAGGAGCAGCAGGCGAAGCATCCCATAAGCGGAGCCCGGGTGGGGAGCGCTTGGCCAGCACGTGGGGAGGCAGGCTGGGAGTGGCCGGGCGCGCACCTGCGTGGGAAGGCGGGAAGAAAGCGGGAGGCGCGTCTAAGACCTCCTGGTAGCGGTTCTGCGCGTGGTGGACAGGGAGGTTCCTGGCTGGGGTCCACCGGCAGGTGGGCTTGGGCGGGGCGAAGGCCTCAGTTCAGGGGAGCGAGAATGGGCGGGGAAGGAACGGAGATGGCCGAGCCCGGCGAAGGCAGCAAGGCTAGCGGCGAGGTTGGGGAGGAAGCCTCGGTGCCTGCCCTCCAGCCCAATGGATACCTGGCCGGCAAAGAGCTGGGTGACAGCAGCAGCTGTGTGCCTTTGGTAACCGAGAGCGATGTGGAGGTTGGAAGAAGCGCCGCTGCCTTTGCTGATCTCGAGAAGTATCCTGAAGCAGAGGCGATGCTGTCAGATTGTGCCTCGGGGGTGAAGCTGACCCCTCGGCTCTCCAAACGCAGGCTGGTGGTGCTGGCCGTGTTCAGCTGCTATTCGCTAGTAAATGCCTTCCAGTGGATCCAGTACAGTATATCGACCAGTGTCTTCACTCGCTATTATAATGTCTCCTCTTCTGAAATTGACTGGCTCTCCATGTCATATATGGTGTCATACGTTCCTCTCATATTTCCTGCCACTTGGTTGCTGGACACGCATGGCCTCCGCCTCACTGCCTTGCTGGGATCAGGACTAAACTGTTTGGGGGCCTGGATTAAATGTGCCAGCGTCCAGCAAAACCTCTATCTGGTCACTCTGCTGGCTCAGATTGTGTGTTCGGTAGCCCAGGTCTTCATTTTGGGGTTGCCCTCCCGAATTGCTTCTGTCTGGTTCGGGCCCAGGGAAGTGTCCACTGCTTGTGCTGTAGCTGTTTTGGGCAATCAGGTGAGTAGATAAAGAGGAGAAAATGTTTGAGTGGGAGGTGCATAAGGTAGGGATGCTGATGGATAATTTTGGTGAGAACAATTAACAGAAATAACATTTGGGTTTAAGAAAAAAAAGTCTAGCTTCCATTCTTAATAGATGAGCACTGATCACTCAAATCCTTGTTGGCATTGGTGACTGAAGCAGTTATCTGTGAATAGGCAAGGATATTTACAACTGAATAATTAGATTTCATATGTTTAATTCAAATCCTTGCTATTTAGGCTTGTATTATAGATTGCAAGAATTATCTTCTGTCTGGTGCTGTGGTGTCAGCAGGGACATCATAATCTTTGCCATTTAATCTAGTATTGTCTTGAAAAATTATTCTAAGTTATATAATATTAGAAACATGTAACAATAAGGTCTGACATGCAAAAATCATTATCTTGAAAGCTTCCATATGTGCTATGTTTTTTTAGCTAAAAGCAGAAATATATCTAATATTTGTGTACTGTAGTTAAATCATTTGTTTCTTTTAATTGCTTTGAGAAAGAATGTTGAAATGTAAAGTTTTCATTCTTCAATTGTAGCCCTCTAATATTTACAAAACCAATAAACTAGAAAGATGAGCATATTTCAAAGAAAATATTTTCTACCAAAGCTTTGATGTTTTCAACATTCAGAGAATTAGTAGTTAGGAAAACAAATATAAAAATACTGTAACACTTTTGCATTCTAAATATAGCTCTGCACTTTAATCCAGGAAAACCAAGTCATTTAAATACAATAGAACTGTGACATCTTGATGACTAAAGCAATACTTTTCAGTTTTCTTCTTTACTTGTGTTATGAACTTTCAGGTTGATGTTATTATTAACACTGTTTTTGAGGGTATCAGGAAGCGTGTTGATAGAAATGATCCAACAGAGAATATATGTTTTGATTTCAAAAAACCTTTCATGGAATCCTTTACCAAAGGCTCCTGAGTAACCATAACAGCCGTGAAAGTATTAAGAGTATTCAACCTTGCAAGAATTGGTTATTGGTTAAAAGATGAGGAAGCAAAGAGTAGAATAGATAATTTTTATGTTGAAATGTGCAAACCAGTCTCAGGGATAGTTCAGTGGTCTGGCTGCTGTACTATATCAATTTTTCTGTTAGTACTACAATATTTAAAACTTTTTTTCGTAAAGGCAGAGAGAGAAAGTTATGACAGAGGTATATAAAAACATGTATGATTGAAAATGTGGGCAGAGAAGTTTTCTCAGTGTTAGAACTTTGAGTCATTTGTTGAAAAACAAAGATTATGAACAAAATATGTAATCATATAATGCACAGTTAGGCTATGAAACTTACTGTCATCAGATATGTGATGGGCACAAATTATGTTGTTTTAAAAGGGAATTACACAGATGAAGGGGTTGATCTATTCATATCTATAACTCTTAATGGTTGCATACTACCCCCAGAGATCTAGGTGGCAGAACTTAAATAGAAGCTCTTGGGGAGAAACAGGGATTCAGGGCTATTGCCCTGCTGTCCATGATTATGCATTTGAATGCATTTTTGGCTGTTCTGTTATACAAAATGTTGGCTAGATGGGTCCTGTCCTGGTCTAATAGGTTTCTTATGTTTTTAGCTTTGTTCTTATGTAGTTCTTTGTTTTGACAGCTAGGCACAGCAATTGGCTTTTTACTGCCTCCAGTTTTAGTTCCAAACACATATAATGACCTGGATCTCATGGGACATAATATCCGCATAATGTTCTATGGCACAGCAGCAGTATCTACACTCCTCTTTTTATTAACAGCAATTGGTATGTAAAACATTGCTTCACTCTTACTTAAATTTAAAAAAAAAATAGTACAAGAATTATGTCAATGTACTGTGGAAAATGCTACCTTAAAATGTCTGCTCAAAAATGATGCCTGCTTATTTTTGAGATTCCTACCTAATTCTGTTAACCATTCTTTAAAAAAAGTATTACTTTAAATGTTGCTTTGGGGAAATTTTAACTGCTTTTAGTTTTAATTTGGAACACACTCAGTGGGGGACTGTTATAAATAATTTTTTGGTTTGTTTTTCCTTCCTAGAACTAGCTGAAGCTACAAAATGTAGCATAACTGCTAGAAGATAGTAAGGAAGAGTATAATGGGATGTGTGAGTTTTAGGTTAAGAGGAATAAAAAGCAAATGGAAGGAAAAGTAAAAAAGAATTATCAGAATTATGCTAAAAAGATCATGACTAGCAGAATTATGGTGTGTGAATTCATGGGCAATTGACAATCAGAATTGGAAAAATAAATGGCTTTTTAATTCTGGTAAGTACATTTCTTCAGAGAAGGTTGCATGCTGCAGCTTCTGACTCTACTATAAAGTCTTAATAAGTTGTTTTAAAAGGGCAAGTTGTACTTTCAAGGAGGGGAGTAGATTAGCACTCCTTGTTGCCATTCTTGTCATTTTCAAGATGAAGAGCATAACTGTGTGCAACAGAGAGGTTTGGGAACCTCTCGGTCGGGAAGGGAATCTTTGTGGATAAACAATCTCTGCCTGTTACATGTGAAAAGGTGGGATTAGTTCAATGATACTTACTTCTCCTCCTGACACGTGGACTTTCAGATTTCATAGTGACTGAAGTTCTAGTTATCCCAGTCTCTGTGCCTTTATGGGAACATATGAACATGCTTCTTTTATTATATTGATGAAGATGTATTATGTGTGAAGGTGCATGTAAAACCATCCCATCATGAGAAAATGTTACATATTTACTTTGTTTTTGTTTTCTCCCTAGTGTTTAAGGAAAGACCTAAATATCCTCCAAGTCAGTCTCAGGTTGTTCTCCTGGATCCATCTCCAAAAGATCACTCCTATATACAATCAATACTCAATCTGTTCAGAAATGTTCCTTTTATTCTTTTGCTGATAAGCTATGGTGAGTATTTTAACAACTACTTAATGATGCATGTACTAAATATTGTATTGTTTTTATAACCTGACTCCCTTCATGCACTTTAATAGAGATTTATTTGCTAAGATATATGTAATGATTACTATTATAAATTCCCATATAAAAATTTAAATTAGCAATATCCATGATAGAAACATGATTAAACATATACATGCAGCTAATTCTGTTTTTCAGCTGTTATTCTTTTAAGCATGTACACTACTGTACATTCCATTCTGAACTTGTATTAATATTGTTGATTTTTTCATTTCTCTGGTATCTAATGTCTTTCTTAACTGTTCCAAAACAAGCTAATGGATTTTTGAATATAATGTGTGTATTCATAGTTACTGAAATGTTTGTGGTACTGAAAGATACATGTAGCAAAATTACTTCATCTATGAGCAGGATTTGTAGGATTTTTAAAAAACTTCAATAGGCTGTTGTGATGGTGCCATTCCTATTAAGACAGCATTGTTTGCAACTTAGAATATAACATAAATTATGAGATTTGCCCACACTCCTTTGGCTTTGTGCAGGTGAAGGAGCAAGTGATCCATAAGAATGATCTATAGGTGTGCAGTGATGGAGCTATGTGCTTATACAGTCCTCTCATATGAGACTGTGGTGCTGTCACTATTCTACAGAATTTGGAATACTGTAGTAGGCTTTCTGACAAGATCAATAGAGTCATTCCATGCCTCCTCTCTTCACCCTGTGATTCATAGAACCTTAACCAATGATTTACTGAGGAGCTGGTAGGTAACATGAGACCGGAGATGACAAAAGCATTGGGGCAACCTCTTGAGTCTAATGTCATGTAACCATAAGGCCAATCGAAGCCTATTTTTTTCAGTGATAGAATTTCAGCCTGTGGCAAAAATTATGAATAGAATGTAGATGCTAAAGGTAGTGTCCTTGCACAACAATATTAACTGCCGTAAATGAGTATGTATATAAGACAAGTAGGGCTCTAACGTGTTCCAGAAAGTAAGACAGTACTGGCCACAATGTTATAAGTTACAGTTTACATGAGCTTTTGGTATAGCCTAGAGTCTGGATCCAAACATAGTCAGTGTTTGTCCTAACTACTTAATCTTTCCCAGCTAAGTGGCTGGAAAACAGCAAGGTTGGCAGTTTAGACAGCAATATTGAGCTGATCGTAGGCTTCCATGCCATCAGTGGATGAGGAGGAAAGAATGGAACTTTAGCTCTGAGGCCTCCCAATCCTGGCCTCTTTTGGAGCGCTGCTCCCATATTTACAGGTCATGATCTCTCTCCTATCCACAGTCATAGAAATGGCATAATGCCCAAATGGTGCCCCCCCCCAAACTGTGATAAAAAGCGAATTTTACACAAGGTGCGTGCTTTAACAGAAGTTCTATAAGGGTTGAATGGATAGGAGAGCCCACCACCAGACTGAATTTTAGGAGAATGTCTCTCTTTAAATATACATTGTAAATCCTTTATATTTCACTTCCACTTGTTCATAGCCCTGCCCAGAGCTGATTGACATTTTGGGTGTCTCCCTTTCAATGTGCTGGGCAGTGCTTCTGTTTATGCCTGTGTGTTGACAAGCAGAAAATGAACCCATGCTGGGCAAAAAGATCTTACTGTCCAGAGTCAGACTGAGGTACCAGTTTTCATTTCTTTTTCAGGTCACTCGATCTTCTGAAGGGTAATTTATTTATTTATTTTTATTTATTTATTAAATTTATCTCCACCCATCTCCCCCCAGTGGGGGATTCTGGGCGGCTCACACAAATCATTTAAAACAATAAATATATATAAATACATAAAACATAAAAATTTATACAAAACATTACCAAAAAGAGAAAGTCCAAGAAAATAATGGATTTCGGGGCTGAAGACAACAGGCCTCTAAGGGACTAGCCATCCCCACGTTTGATGTCTTCCCTCCCCACCCCAAGCCAAGTGGCAGAGCTAGGTCTTCAAAGCCCTCCAGAAGGCCAGGAGTGAGCGGGCTAATCTTACCTCTGGGGGCAGAATATTTGTTCTTTGTTTTGTGAGTTTGGCTTCATTTAATGTCTGTACCCATGGCAATACTTTTGATAATTTCATTGTAGGAATTATGACTGGAGCCTTTTATTCAGTGTCAACTCTACTAAACCAAATGATACTAGCTCATTATGAGGTAAGTTTCTATAGAATTTGTTGTTGAACCAAAATCAATGTCCTGCTTGTTTTGTTTGTCATTGCTGAGTAAGGCTTGCTAATACTGATTTCTACAGGACTGAAGCATGTAGGATGTGTGAGAACTGTCATTAAGTATAAGAATAATAGCTTGATACAACGTCTGATTATGGATTATTATTCCATTATTGCTTCAGACAAAAAGAAGGATGAAACTGGGTACTCCATCTTCAGACCTTTGAGAATACTATCTAAAACTGCTGTTCTGTAGACTTAGGTTGCATCTGTTTACTTTTTTATAGATTTTTGTCTTAATAAAAAACTTGATAATAAAATCTTTGTTTAATGTTATTTGGATTTCTTTTATAGCTGGAAGACATATCCATTTACACTACATGAAAATGGGCTATAAAATAAAATTATAGCTATGCATATATGTGCCTCAGATTGCTGTATTTCTTTTACTGTTGCCATACTTTGAATTTACTTATGCTTGATATTCAGCTACAAAAATGATTGATACATTTTACTAATATTTCATAGATTGACTTTTTGAGAAAGTGAATTAGTGTGAGCTTACATATTCACTGCATAATAATATAATTTTGTTATATTACATGAAGGGAGAAGAAATAAATGCAGGTAGGATTGGCCTCACACTTGTGGTAGCTGGAATGGTGGGCTCTATTATTTGTGGCTTGTGGCTGGATCATACCAAGACATACAAGTAAGTGTATGAATGGGAATAGCAAATTATTTAAGTCATCTGTTGTACTGTAGTTTTAATGTGAAAGATGAGTAGTTAATAGTGATCAAAAGACTGCCTACAGAAGACATTATACAGAGCATTATTCTATCTTTTGTTCATTAGCTGAAAGTGTTTGTGTGTGTGTTGGAGAGAGAGAATTATGGCTAATTAGCCATTTCTTGGGAAGCTGCTGGCTAGAAGCCATAGCTCATTTTTTTGTTTTTGGCAGAGGACCAAAATTTCTTGGTTTAGTTGTAAGTGGAATCTGGCTGTATCAATGCCAGGATCTTTATGCCAAAGAGCACATAACAGGAGAAATGGAAAGGATGAGAGAAGATTGCTTGCTTAACAACCCACGATCCTCACTTAACAGCTGCAATGGGGACTGCTGGGATTGCTGTCACTAAGTGATGCAGTCATACGATGTTGTGCTTTACGACCACATCGCTCAGCAACAGAAATTCTGGTCCCAATTACCATCATAACCTGAGGACTATCTGTAACCTCTTTGGTGGCAAAAGAAGGCAATGACAGATTGTCACTGAAAATGCATTGTACATTTTTGTTTGAGCTCTGAGTTATGAAATGATAACAAAAATAATTAGTGATTGTTTTTTTTCCCCCTCTATAGACAGACTACATTAGTTGTGTACATCCTCTCTTTTGTTGGGATGGTCGTATTTACATTCACCTTGGACTGTGGACGCCTTATAGTTGTATTTGTGACCGGTGGAGTACTTGGGTAAGGATTTTTGCAATAAAATATATTGCTATGCTAATTCAAGAAGGTTAAATTTTTTGGTACATAACATTGTTTAAACAGGCTGCAGACTTTCTAGTGGAATATATGTTTCCTTCAAAGGTGGATTTTTGTAACTGGATATTCAAATTATTGGAGCTGCCTAGAAAAACCATTGTAGGTTGTCCTCATGGTAATAAATACTGAAGAACAATTGCTTTTGATGCTAATAGTAGGAATTATTGCTAATTTGAACTTTGACTTTTTATGTCAGTTTCTTTATGACAGGTTACCTGCCCCTTGGTTTTGAATTTGCTGTGGAAATTACATACCCAGAGTCAGAAGGCACCTCATCAGGGCTTCTAAATGCTTCAGCACAGGTAATGGGGAATGTTTTATTAAACTAATCTCTGAGCTCAGGTAACTATCTCTTCAGTAATGCTGTTTTGTAAAAATATAATTGATAAATCATAGGGTAGCAAAATTAAGGAAAGAACTTTCAGGCATCTAAAAGTATCATAGTTCAGTGATTACACAAAGCTTTCTTAAAGCTTGCAGCATCTCTGTTGAAAACATTTGGAAAACAGCATATATGTTGTAAAAATTATATCAATATAATCTAAAAAAATATTTGTCCTTTGCTGAATCTACACTGAAACTGTGGAACAAATAATGTGTGGAGACGCTGGTATCTTGCCTACTCCAGTCTATTCTAGTTATTTTTTTCTCACATCTCTGTCCATGCTTGGAATCCAGAGCAATACTTTTCTTGAGTAAGCTATTTTCCATTGGAATTGTAGAGTAATTGTGGGGTGTTTTTTCTTTTTTCACAATTGCACAAATTTGCAGGCTGTGAGCAGTACTCTTTCAATATGATGAGAACATGCTGTTCTTTTTTGAAAGTGGTGGGTAAACAAAACCCCACCTATGAGGCATGGTAGAAAATAAAACTGGCAGAGTTCAGGGAACTTGGGCAAAACTGGCAGAGTTAAATTCTGAAATTCCTTCTTACAAACAATTGCAGATATTTGGGATTATCTTTACATTGATCCAAGGGAAGCTTGCAACAGATTACAGTCCTCGTGCTGGAAATATTTTCCTCTTTGTGTGGATGTTTATAGGTATCATTTTAACAGGTAACCACTTACCTTTATCTCACATTAATATCCATGTTTTTGTTCTTAATGGAAAAATAGTGAATAATATGAGATCTGTTCCAAAGGCTTAAGTCATCTATTTGAAACTGTAAAATTCCTTTTATTAAAAACATACATGTCTTGCAAGAATAAAAGCACAATGTATCATAACAGTAAAGCACATAAAAATTATGTAAACATTTAAATATGTTAACAGCAAGAAACAAGAGTGGTGAAACAGGTTGTGGGCTTTTGCCTACTTTTTTGCTTGTCGAATGTCTCTATATATCTTTGAAAAGCCACCTTCCCTACTACAGTGGGGCAAAAAAGTATTTATTCAGCCACCAATTGTGCAAGTTCTCCCACTTAAAAA